GCTTCTCTTGCTCTCTCATTTTCTGTCTCTTTCTGCCTGTCTGTCTCTCCGTCTCTGCCCCTCTCTCTGTGGAAAGTATAGACAGGGGATGTGGATCAGTTCCCTGAGAAACACAGTGTGTCATGCCCCTAAACCAATCATTCCAGACTCTACACCCACTGCACCCCCTATCTCAACAACCTCTATCTCCAAGTTCATCCTCCACACTTCCTTTTGACCACTACGTTTTTGCAAAGCATAGATAGGGGATGTCCATCATTTTAGCTCCTACAGATGAGGGATGTCGGTCTGTTCGGCACACTCTTACCTTCTGATCCAGGCTCTTCAGTCCCTAGATGGTATAGACGGGGTGGTGTGGGTCAGTTGGCCCACGGGCCTGCAAGAGTCTGCTGACCCAGGGACAGGCCTGAGCCCATCCTGGCTCATCAAGTTAGGGTTGGCCCAGCAAAAGGTTTGGCAAAATAACCGCTCATCTCCTCCCTTCCCCTCCTCTCCAGGGTCTAACACCTCTTGCCTCGAACTTCTGTTCTCTTCTCTGCATCTCTCCTTGGCCCTTGCAGTGAGAGGCAATGTCCCTTGCACAGACTAGCTGAGTGTTGTTGCCAGATTGTGTCGGAGCTGCCTTAGCTCATGGCATCATCAGGCCAGAAGCGAGAATGGCCCCTTTGGGATGTCCATCGATCTATGCTCCTCCCTGTCTGTGGATATTGTCAAAGGGCCAGTGGTGACAACAATTTTGATGCCCAAGCAGCAGAACATGATGACAAACTGCACTGCAGCTGTGTGTGGGTGGGTGGGTGGGTGGGTGTGTGTGTGTGGGTGTGTGGGTGTGTGTGGGTGTGTGTGTGTTGTATAAAATTTCCCCACAACAGCCCCAATTCCACCCAGATGAAGAGATTCAGAAGGAAAGCAGTTTTGTTCTATTGCAGACGACGAGAGCACTTAAGATGAGATGGTCCAACATTTAAAAACAATTCTACAAAAAAAAAAAAAAAAAAAAAAAAGAACACAAACTGGAAAAAAGGGTAAAGTGAAGAAGAGAGACAAAACACAGCGGCCCGGGTGATACAAATCGATGCGGCACAACAGAGCACAAGACGGGACTGTTAGAACTGACTGGCAGACAAAGGGGCTGGCAATCCGCAGCAGGAATGTCAATGGCCTAGGTAACATATTATCCGAAGAAGACAAACTACGAGATATTCGGATAGTATTGACTGGAAAAAAGAAGCCCAAACTGGACATCATCCTTCTCCAAGAAACGCACTTGTCAAATCTTGCACACCACACCAGAATCAAAAGGACAATGGAAAAAAGCCTGGGCGGGTGCGATTTTACACTGTGGTCCAACAAAGAGGGACATACCAAACGAGGAACAGCAATCCTTGTACCTCGCTCATCCAAAATCTGAACAGAAGGACAGGTGTTGAATGGGGATGGAGACACGATCGAGGGCGGATGGTCCTGGATTGACATCAGATGGCAAGAAGAAGAACTGAGAATCTTAAACATATACGCCCCCAATGCAGAATGAGAACGACTGGAGTTCTTCACTAACATCAGAGCGATCATCCCAAACCCCCTACCACTAATCATAGCAGGGGACTGGAACACTACCTTAAACCCTAACCTTCACCGTATCTCTCCCCTGCTGATGGGCCCCACACGAGCAGGTACCCAGATTCGAAACGTCATGACAGAATTCAAACTAATCGACCGTTCAGAACACTCCATCCCCTAGCGAGAGTTTTTTCCCTTGTCAAAAGAAACCGAGCCAACCATATTTCCCTATCACGGATCGACTTCTTCCTGATTTTCAAACTCCTCTAAGGCACAATTAAGGAGGCCAAAATTATACCTGCACCTGTTTTTAAAGGGCTGGACCATAAACCCATACACCTGCTCCTCGACTTTAACGCCCCAGTGGAAAGAGGACATGGCTTCTACAGACTGAATAACTCCCTTCTCTTCACAGACTGTTTCACGGAGGTAGTTAAATGGAATTGGCTATTCATGCGACAAGAAGAAGTAAGGCATAGGGATAGACACCAATGGTTCATAGACAGTTACTCAAGACCTGGCACTGACGGTGTCGGCCGAATCAAGAAGCATAGCGGCCGAATGCAAGATCAGAAAGGAAGAACTTCAAATTGCTATCACAATTGCAGAGGCTAACCTCACGTCAGACCCCACCAACGAGTTCTACTACGACCTACTCAAAGCCTCCAAGGAAGAGCTTAACGAATGGAGGAGATGGGAACTAAGAGGCCTACAAATACAAGCAGGATGACTGACTACACTCTGAACGAATCAATGACCAAGTTCTTCTTCGCCAAAATAAAAGTCAATGCTAGAAACAACATGATTGAGAAGTTGAAAGACCCATCGGATCAGGGGAGAGCAAAAACAGTTGGCCTGGGCATGGTAAGGATTGCCAAATCCTTCTATGCAGCCCTCTACGAATCCAAAACACCCTCACCCCTCTTCATGATAAACATAGCAGCCCGTTAGCAAATGATGTCTTACCTAAACAGGACGATCTCATCAGAACAGTCAGAGGGCTTGGAAAAACCAATCACCCTAGGGGAACTCCAAGCGGCTTTATCACAGATGGGAAACGACAAGGCACCAGGGATCGATGGACTCTCCAAAGAGTTTGGGTCCAGTTTTGGCCTATCCTAGGGAACGACCTCCTCAATTTTATCAACGACAGCAAAGCGAAGGGAGGTTTGGGTTCATTCCTAAGCACCAGTGTGGTCTCGTTACAGACCAATTTCACTACTCACAACCCCTTACAAAATACTAGCGAAAGCACTAGCTAACAGGATCATAAAGCTCAAAGTGCTTTCATGTCGATCAAACAAGGTTCGTTCCAGGTAGATACATACTAGACAATGTGATGACCCTGAATGAGGCAGCAAGGAAGGTGACTAAAAAACGAATGCAGACAGTCATTCTATTCTTCGATTTCGAAAAAGCCTATGATCGAGTGAATTGAGATTTTATCCAGAACTGCATGAAAAAGATGGGAGTGGGCCCAAATTTCAGAGAATGGGTCAGAGTTCTATATGGCGACACCACGGGCAGAGTCCAAATAAACAGGATAGTGTTAGACGCCTATCCGATATCAAGGTTTGTCCATCAAGGTGACCCACTAGCTCCCACCATCTTCCTGTTCATCATGGAGGCCATTGCTTCCTTCCTTCGCAAAAACCCCTCTATAGATCGCCTCACCACGCAGAACTACGACCCCCTTCACGACTTTGCTCTACGGACAGGACTGATGTTCGCCGATGATCTAACAATCCTCATTCGTGCCAACAACTCCTCGTTCCAAGCCCTCGTCAGAGTCATGGAAGCCTTTCGACTAGCATTAGAAATGAAGGTAAATTGGTCCAAAACCGAAGGCTGGTGGTTCGCAGACAGCACCCCTCCTCAACCTCCTGATCTATTCACTCCTCCTGATCTATTCACTCCCATGTCATGGTCCACGGGCGACCAAGCACTTAGATACCTGGGAATCATGGTCAACAAGGATGGCACATGTTCACGGATGGGCCAAATCTTAATCGCAAAGGCAATAGCCCGCCTAGCCCCGTGTAAGAGAGCCCAGGCATCCCTGATTGGCAGAGCACTTATCATAAACACGTCAATATTCTCCACGCTATGGTACACGACATCCATCTGATCCCCCCCTAACGAAGAACTCAAGACTCTCAAGGCGAGGGTCAGACGTTATTTATGGACAGGCGACCCCAACAAACTACCTACATAAACAAGATTCCCTGGCAAATTGTCATCAGGAAACCGCAAGGAGGAGGACTGGGGATCATCGACCCTAGACAGGAAACTATCGCCTTGCAGATGAAATGGAGAATTAAGATTCTCACCAAACAATCCCTCCCATGGACGAAACTGGCCTTGGACAGTATAAGGAACCTCACTCCAATAAGCTGCCCATACAATATGCAAGACCCCTTCTGGATTATGGCCAAAGAATGGGCAATCGAAACAGGGAGGACATCAATGAGAACCCAGCAGCAA